TGTCAATATATTGACATATGTAATGGGCGCTTTAGCTCAGTCGGTAAAGGCGCAGCTACAAAGCAAGACCATGCTGGCAGAGTTGCGACCTATCACAATCACGATCGTCAAACAGCTGATGGTAGTAACCCTTGGTACATTCCTATCAATGTGCTCGTCGAAGCTCTCTCCACGACCATCCATCAAGTTGACGAAAGAAGTAAAAAGCAACTGGTGAATGTCGTCTTCGGTTGTGATCCATCACCGATCTGGTCATTCCCGACAATCACGACACTCATCTGTGCTCGTTTTGAAACAGTTGCTGCTTTGCTTGCTTATGTGAGTGTGTTGATGAGTGAGTTTAACAGCTTCCGTTTAATGTTGCCCGTTTTGTTTGTAACTCACACAGTCGCGCCTGCCGAGACGAACTTGGAATTCGTAGGCATTGTTTTCATTTTCTTCTGTCGTTTCGCTTTTTCTCATGATCGTACTGCAGAAGTCGTCACTGTTTTCGTTGTGCTTTTCATCATCAGCAGTGAGTGTAACGTTTTGCTTGTGAGCAGCGACCATTACTGGTGATTGTTGTTTGCCATGGCTCTACCTCTCACTGCGTGACAAAACGTTCTGTCAGCGATAGTCGGTTGATGCGAAGATGAGTGTCATGATATTTTGCATCACTGCATGCTGGAGGTGGCTGTGTTCAATTCCCGGTCCGGTCTAGGAATTTTTCGGGTTGGAAAATTCTCGACTTCCTTGGGCATAGAAGTATGATTGGACTTGCCACACAATTATATCAATGCAAAAATGGTACAGGCATCGAAAGCTCGCAATTAATAACTGTGGAAGTGCATCTAGAACACTAAGTTGAGAACACGCATTAAGCTAATATGCCATACGCAATAAGCTTAAAATGCGAGGAAGAAGAAGAAAGAAGAAGTTGTATGCATTTCTTTTATTTAAAAAAAAATCTCATCATTTTACTCTATAGTTTTTCATTACCTAATTATCATATGTGTCACGAAAAGGTACAAATAGGGCAAGGCGTTGCAAGTTGATTAGTACATTTTATAATTTATTTGTTTGTGAATAGCAACAGAACTGAGAATGATAGCTTAAATTTTCAAAAAAAAAGGGTTAATGTGTTTACGACGCTATCGAGGTATCATCCAAATAATTCAAAGATTAATTTTACCATTTCAAGACCAAACATTGAAAAGGCCTCAACTCTATTTTGTAAACAAACCTTGTAAGGCCATTTTGTCGCGAATCGAAATCCGCCAACGCAAACCAACAAAATGGAACAGGTATAGAGGAAATTCTTCTCTACCCGATTGTGTTCTAGGTTTGCGAATGTAGGTTTCGGTTCGCGAGAAAATGGTCTGACAAGGTTTGTTTACAAAATGAAGTTGAGGCCCTTTCAATTGTTGGTCTTGATTTGGGTAATCGTTTGGATCTTGTAATATGTGTACGATGTATTATTTTAATAACAGACTATAACTTTTGAAGAATTTTTTATACATATTAAAAATTGGAGCAGTGGGACAGATATGCGTCCATTTTTGCAATGGGACAAAACGACTTCACATTTTTTTTAATTTTTCTAGAATAAACAGCATGTTTTAATATATTACTTTAAAAATATGGAACATAAGAACTGGGAAAAAATCAATGATAGATAAGAAAAGATTTATATCACTCAATAAAGGAACAACTCAAAGACTTCTTAGTCTCTCCAAAAAAGATCTATGTACTTTTAGTGGCCTAGTACCAAACTCGGCACATCTCAATCTGTGCCGACAGCTGTGCTCAGTGTTGCGCCGAACGTGCCGCATTGTGGAAATCAAGCTGTCGGTCTCAGTACCCCATGAGTTTGGCAACCCTGCAATTATGACTTCTGAGATTTTTTGTTTATAACTTCAAGCTCTCATGGATGGTTCATTGAAAAACATTAATTTGCTCCCTAATTTAAAAAGATGGTTAGGTACTGTTAGGTAATGCTGATGATGGTGGTGTTGTTGCTATTCAAATATATTTCTGAACAAGAAACAATTATATTAAAAGCTGTGTTTAAGATTTATCTTCTATACATAATGTTTGCAAATGGATTAGGGCGTTGATTGACAACGTTAAATCTTTTTTCGACGACTCTATAAGTGAAATGTAAGCACAAATGTTTGCTTGTCGATGAATATCATTTGATAAGGTTAGTTGAAGCAATGGAGTAAAAGTTACCCAAAACCATGATGCCTCTAGGGTTTTTTGTCTTCAGGGCATAGTAAAGGATTAATAATTATTATAGTTTATGATATTAATATCTCCTTTAAACTTCATTTGCAACGGGCCGGAGTCGATATCGCTCTTGTCGGAAACATCACACCAACCAGCTGCACCTTACCGCCACAATGTTCTGTCTTCTCTACTGAAGCTGCTGCCAGCTTTATCGCTGCTATAACGCCCTCGGACCGACCGATCCTGGTCCTCACGGATTTGCACAGCGTCAAACAAGCCCTGAAATCCGAGGCCCCAACTCATCCCTGGGTACAGGCGACGATGAAGTCCGCGCCACCAAACACGGTATTCTGCTGGGTTCCGGGGCACTGCGGAATACCAGGCAACTCTGAAGCTGACTTTATGGCTGGGGCAGGACCATCTGCCCCTCGCTATACCAACGAAGTACCGTTACACGTTGTCAAGCGGTGGATCGCGAGCAAAGTATGGGAAGCTTGGGACGAGGAGTGGGCCCAAAACCGCTCCCTCTTCATCAGCCGGATCAAATAGGACGACGAGGAAGTGGACAGAACCGTTGAACCAGTGGGATCAGAAGATAGCGTCGCGTTTGAGGACCGGTCACAGCTAAATCTCCCACAATTTCGGTGGAACGCCGTTCCACAGGACTTGCGTCGGTTGTAGAACCCAAGCCTCAATCGTGCACATTCTATGCGTATGCCCTTAGTATCAGAACCATGCTGGGTGATGATCCCTCCACACTGGCAGCAGTAATGCGCTTTTTAAAGGATGCCGCATTGTATTTTAAAGTTTAGTCTTTTTTAAATTCCTTCCGGCTGTTGGGACATCTCTGTCTAATGGGGGCCCTCCCGGTTCCCCCGGTGAAGAGCTCTGCCTTATTCAGACTTTAATTTTTGTGTTCTTAATATGCTTTATGTGGAAATTTATTTGGCCATATTCCAGTTCCAACTGTTTCCAAAAGTATGCCTAAAAGTTGAGTTTGTACATTATATTTAATAGTTTTTCAATCGACCAGAACTTTTGACAATACTTACCTCATCCCATGCCTCTTCCATTTTAAAAACGGCACCAAACTTGGTACATCTCAATTCAATAAATCTCTTGATATCCTGTTTCACACTAGTTTTCCAGGTGTAATACGGTGACCAACTTTTTTCTTCCCTGTGATTTATAATCGTTGTCTTCTTCAAAATTCCATCGTTTTTTTTTCCTTGATTTGTTTTCCGTCGATCTTGTTTTCCGTGCTGAGCACCAATGCTACCGACACCAGGAAGGCAGTTCCCACACCTGGACTCTACCTATCGACTCATCAAACTCATGAACCGGCGTGATCAGAGATATTATTATGCCTCAGAACAATCCCGGCGGCGCCGACTGGGATTGAACCCAGGCCTGCTGGGGTGAGAGTCAATCACGCTTACCACTACACCACCGGTGCCGCTTTGACTTCATCGTCTTGGTCTAAAGAAAAGAAAAACGCAACTCGATCAAGCCAAATTCAAAGGTAGTACCTATGTGACGTCGCATTCCAAAAGTTTTGAACCAAATGAATAATCAACTTTTTTTTTGCAGCCATTAGACTATTTAGAAAAAAACAATTCATTGTTCAAATCATAATTCTTAACTACACAATTATTTTATTTTGGTTGTAGTTAAATTCCAACAAACTGTTGGTCCGCTACATCACAACTGGCATCACTAGTGTGCATATTTCAAAATGTAAAGATACAGACAAGCCCTGGGACCTGGTAGCAGTTAAGCAATTCTCAAGGTTATGCCAATGTCCAGGGGAAAATCATGGCGTGTTGAAAGTGTGCCCATAATTTATAAAACAGTCTATAATGCAAAAATGGTACAGGCATCGAAAGCTCTCCATTAAGAACTCTGGAAGTGCTATAAGAACACTAATTTGAGAGCCAGCAATAGGCTTGAAATGCCAAGAACAAGAAGCAGACTAAGACATAATTTTCTAAATTTGAACTCCATTAGCATGAGCATGATTAACCGCCCACGGTTGCTACTCGTTATTGCCAGATCAGCTGTAATTACACAGAGAATCAATAGACGATGCTCTGGACTAGCAATAATCCTCAACGTGTAAAAACTGGTGATCTCAAACTAGGCAATACCAGCGCCGGCCGCGCCCGAACGCAGGTTAAGAAAGGAATGGTTAAGAATGTGTTCACGTGACACTCGCTTTGATGGCTGTCGAGAAATACTCTGCACTTCCACGAGGAATCACTGGGATGTTAGGTAAGAGGGTAGGGTTTGCAGCAGGGTTCGTTTTGGTATACGATAAACTGAATTGATGTCCGAACGATATGGAGAGGTTACTGTATAAATAAAGAAAAAGGAATGATCTCACCCAAATAACCCAGTGGAGCCTCACCAACAGCAACAGGCCCTACCTACAATTGTGCAATTTTCCCCTACCCGATGGAGATATTGATTTAGGTGGGCGAATCCTAACTTTCTAGACATCGTCTAGAGAAGGCATTGTTTTCAAAAGCTGTTAGGCCCTTTTCCAGCACTGTATTGAAATGACTTGGAGTTCTAGTCAAAACTCTCGTAGAGTTCTTCCAAAAATTAACATGGTGCTATCCGTTGGAATTTGCAGCAAAAGAAGATAATAGTCCTTCAAGTTTCAGAATCTTGTTATTTCCGAAGAGAGCACGAAGTGTGGACAAGGCCTTTTCCCGGTTCACTGGTCACAAAATCGCACGCATACCTGTAAAAGCAAGGAATTTCTCACTGAAGAAAACACAGCCGCTATTATTTACTAGAATCATGAATATTTACCATTCAGTTAATTAATACATATCGAATGTAGCATTACAGAGTCAATACCAATTTCCATAGTTCAGTAAAATTTGTAAGTAAGTAGATACTCACCGCTCTCGAGTACCCTTATGTCAGATGACATGCATTCCAAATCTGTGAAGAGAAATTGTCTGCTGTGCTCTTAAATCTAGCTTAACTCCATGCAGCATCGAACTGAGCTGGATCGAACGCATTTTCCCGATTCCTCTTTGGCGATGGGGATCGATCCTCCGAGATGCGAATGATTGGCACGATGTCCACACCGGCAAACGGATCTCTTTGTCGGTACATCCGAATGTCCTCTCGCTCACGACGGTTTCTGTCCCGGGAGTTGTTGCGTTCCTGACTTTGCCTTGGAGCCCTTCTGGCTTCGCCAATGCCACCTTCTCTGCCACGGCCTCTGCCGCCGCCGAAGCCAACACCGCGACGCGCACGGTTTCTGGCAACAGCAGCAGGATTCGGGACGTAATGGACGTCACCGTTGTCGCTGTAGACGGTTCCTTTCCGTCGGCGTTGATCATGTTCAAAGTCGCGATGACGGGAGCTTTCAACCGAGGTGATCAGTTGCTTGTCCAACTGCTCGAGACGACGCTTGATGGCTTCCTGTTTGCGCATAATGTACTCATCGATTTCATCCTCCGGGATGTTCGGTGGAACTCCGGGCGAATCTCGACCGAAATTGAGATTATCGTCGTCGCGGTCGTCGAATCCACGACCGAATGGAGACCGCTGCCGCGGAGGACTAAATTGATTGAAATGCTGCTGTTGCTGTTGCTGATGTCCCCAGCGGCGATCCAACGGAGGATCGTCACTGTCCATCGGACCATAATTGAACCCGTTGTCGTTTTGCTGGTTGATCAGAAAGTCTCCAAACTGCTGTGACATCCTCTGGTCGAATTGGTTCATGTTGCGACCCCCCTGATCGAAACTATCGAAGGGACCGTCGTTGTTGCGAATGAAGCGATCATCTGGCATGAACTGATCGTGCTGCCGCTGGAACTGTTGTTGTTGTTGTTGTTGTTGGTCGTTCCAAATGGGCCCTTGATTATCCTGCTCTCCCCATGGGTTCATCGAACGACGCTGATCTAGTTGTTGCTGGTATGGATGGTGGCGCTGCGGTGAACTGTTATTGGCAAATGGATTACGATTGCGATCTCTGCCGGGTCTCTGCTGTTGCTGCTGCTGCTGTGGTTGCCTCTGCTGCTGCCGTTGTTGGGGTGGTCCTTTCCGTTGTTGTTGTTGTTGCTGTTGTTGTTGGTATTGCTGCTGCCTGTTCTGTGGCTTCTTTTGATTCTGTTGGTTTTTCTCATTCGGCTGCTTCTTGTTCTGGTTCGGTTGGATGTTCTTGCTGGGAGAATTATTCGAAACTTCGACCACGTCGTCCTCGTCATCAATCACAATCGATTCCGATGGTTTCTTGGCGGGGGCAGCGTAGGGCTCTGAAAATGATAAAATGTTTTTTTTTATTAATAATCTTTTGAGGTACATAGATGGTTTATGTTAATCTCATCGATCGCTGATATGTGCTATTTTGTAGGTACGGAAGAAGATAATTCTACACGATTCACAATACACATCCTGAATTTAGGGACTGACGAAAAACGTGACAAATTCACAATTTATTCAAGCTCGTCCTTCTTAACCATTTAAGTTAACTGACTTAAAACTAAAAAAACAATGAGAGAGAGAGAAGGATTAGTAATTTCCATTTAATTCCACTACCTTATTTGAGTATTAGTACAAGACACTGAAGAAGTCTGCATATTGTAGACGAAATACGCGTATCTGTCAAGGATAAGCAAATAAGGTAGTGGAATTAAATGGAAATTACTAATCCTTCTCTCTCTCATTATATACACTGAAAAAAGTTTTCACTTAGTTTCTATTAGGAACGCACATAGTATTTTTCCAAAAACAATGATTTTTACCTGAATATCACATAGCTTTAGAAATTCTATATGAGAAATCACATAGATTTCATTGGACACATAACGTTCATGTGATTTAGTGGTGCAATTTCCAATTATGGGATCACCTGAAAGTTATGTGAAATTCACATGGATATTTTCCACTGGTGGATGGTGGATCATATTGTTAATATAATATATTTGCTACTGTGCTCTAGAGCTAGTCGATAAAAGAATGGTTGCCTTACGTTGACAATTGACAATTCGCTACTCTGTAACTCTTTACTCCCATGGTAAAATCCCACAAGCGAGCGTCAGCCTGTGCGTGAAACATGTGGGATATTCTCCTTACCATTTCACTCCAGGGAAAAATCCCATAAGATACTGTCAATCTTCGCGTGATTAGACGGTGTCTGGCTGGTACCATGGTGGAGTGTAAAGATATGACAAAGTCCGCTACAATTCATGCACAGATTGACAGATTTTTATGGGAGTTCACAATAGGAGTAAAGAGTTACAGGGCCACCGTCAACCCCAATGCATGCACTTTGCATGCAACCAAATATCTGCTTTTTCTTTCATAGGAGCCAACGTAAACATTGACTTTTTCCGTGAACTCATCTACGGTATCGGGCTAGTCAGTAGAGCAAAGGATTCGGTGGTGCAGACTCTTGCACCCAACTACAACCGGATATTCCAGCGAGCATGGTTGAAGCAGACACATTGCCGTTCGATCTAATGGTTTTGCAAGCTATAATTCGTGTTGCAATTCGTTTGATGGAGAAGGATTCCAGGAATATCGATCTTCTAGTTGTGGAACGAGCGTCACACCGCCTGGCGGCGGTTGATGTAGAGCTTCCAAACATCGTTGTACGTCGCCGAGTGTGGTATGAACCAAAACCGCATATTGGTTGGGATGTGAAACGGCCGGTGAAAGCTTGGGATCCCCCGAATACAGTGCGTTCCATCGTGTAGGAGTTGCTGGCAAAGCGGTTTAACCATGCTTTGGCCATTTATACGGATGACTCTAAAAGCGAGAACATAGTTGGAGCCAGGGCCCAACAAAGTCACTTTCAATTGAAAATCGTCAAGCGACGACGAAGCTGTCAACAATCACTTTCAATTGAAAGTCATTCTGTCTTCTCTTCGAGCAGATCCCGTTCAACATCAACAGAACCACTTTCGATCAATTTTCATGCTGTTTGATTTAACCACTCCGGTGGCAGAAACGTCATCCACCAACAGTTTGCTTGAAGCCAAAATTGTTGGTTCTTGGGCTCGATTATCTGCCAATCTAAGACAGCTGATGCAAACATTGAGAAATTATGTTCCGGCCACATAGATGTTTGATTTGTTGCGCGGCAAAATAATCGTGATAAATGTTTAATAAGCACTTACATGCAGGAATTATATATTAATTATATTATTTTTTTAATAAGCCAAGCTAATCAAGAAACATTCAAGTTTCATGAATGATTATTCACATAAGATTTTTTAACGCATACGTGTCGTTAATGCACATATAAACATAGCATAAAAACTACAGTGCTGACACCACCAATGGTGGTGGCTTCAACAACCCTCCTTCATGGCAGAGGATTGGATTTAACTTGACTCGTGTTCATTTCGTCTATCATTGTCAAATGAACTTATTTTTTTCGCATTGAAGCGAAGCTGTTCGATCGAAATTCGCGTAGTTTTTCTGACTTTGCTTGATTGTTCACTCGGTTCATTTAAAGGTCCGTTTAGACTATCTGATTTGTATGTTTGACTTTTTATGCTGCCATAATGAAAAATCTGCTCGATTTCACTTTCGACAAATCATGTCGAATTCCTTTATCTGACCGTGTTTACACTGTTCGCACAAGTCGAGAAGGTAATCTGTCAAACGATTTGGATTTTTAGATTCTTGACTCTATGGCGCTTATTACCCCCGTGTCACTTCACGTTAATAATGAAGTGAAGTGACAACGAGTCATACTCGATTAAATGAACTCCATTTGTATGGTGAATCACTCAACCCATAATGAAGGCCTTCGTTTTCTTTGGTTAGTGTAGATGTGGTTGATTTGTATTTCATGGAACTCACGTGCTTTTCTTACTCCACGATTAGGGAGGAGTGAACCTCCAATCACCAAATCGTTATTGACATAAGACTGTAAACAGTTCACACTTTCTATGATTTCTTCTTGAACATGTCTTCCCAAAGACCTTTTTATCAGAGACAACCTTCGCATGGAAGCCGGCAGGGTTGATCTTTAAGTTACTATTTGAAACCTTTTTCTCAACGGAATTCAGCTCACTAACATCATAGAGGCAATAGACCTTTATTCACATTTACGGGGTATTTGTAGAAATTCGTAGAGCTTCTGGAAAAATCGTAGAACTTCTGCAAAATTCGAAAAATCTCTGAAAAAATTCGTAGAAATTCTCCGAAATTTGTAGAACTTATATTTTAGTACTGCTAGCAGGTTCGTAAAAAATCTTGGAAGTTCGTAGAGCTTCTGGAAAATTCGTACAATTTTACAAAAAGTTGGTAGATGTTTAGAAAAGTTCGTAGAATTTGCTGAGAAATTCGGAGAACTTCTGGGAAAATCTTATAACTTCTGAGAAAATTTTAGACAGCTATAATGTTTGTAAAAAATCTTGAATGTTCGTTGAGCTTCTGAATACAAAATCGTCAAACTTCTGAGAAATCCGTTGAACTTCAAGAAAGTTCATAAAACTTAAGGGACATTCGTAGAACTTTTGGAAATTCATAGAACTTCTGGAATTTTTTTTAGTGCTACTGGGAAGTTTGTGGTGATTTTCGAAAATTCGTAGATCTTCTGATAGAACTTTTGAGAAAATCGTAGGACTTCTGGGAAATTCGTATCATTTGTGAAATTCATAGAACTTCTGGAGAAATTTAGAACTGTTGGGGAAATTGTAGAAATTTTTATTAGTTCGGTGAACTTCTGAGAAATTTGTAGAACTTCGGGAAAATTCATTGATTTTCTGTGAAATTCGTACAATTTTTGGAAATTCTAACTACTTCTGGCATATTTTAGAACTACTGGGAAGTTTGTGGGGTTTTTGGGAATTTCTTCGATTTTATGGTTATTTTCAGAATAATTGGAAGATCTTTAGGAAAGTTTATAGAACTTATAAAATATTCGTAGAACTTATGGGAAAATATTAAAACTACTGGAAAGTTTGTAGAAACTCTTGAAAGTTCGTAGAGCTTCTGGAAAAATCGTACAACTTCTGAGAAATTCGTAGATTGGACGCCGTTCCAATCTTGTTATCTTTCTCCATTTTTCGTTATATTTATCGAAAAATCTTTTCACACCAGAAACAATTTTAAAAACGGCCTCAACAAGTCGAACGAAAATTAAAAACAATCCTATCTCGTTCGACAAATCAAACGTCAAGTCTAATCGTCATATCGAAAAAGTGTAAACACAACCCAACATTGGATCCGACATGATTTTCGAGCAGTCAGTTCGAATCAGATCAACAAATCAGATAGTCTAAAATGAACCTTAAGCGCATGCGTATCAATGACGTTTATATAAGGTTCGGGCAAGCCGGCAGCTTTCTGAGCACTCAAGTGACGACGTCACTCTACCATAACATTCCATACTGCGAACAGTGAGATTTACGTCACTGCCAACAGCTGTTTCGTGTAAAAAGCTAAAAATTGCAATCTATCATTGTCGGATGGTTTGTTTGGGTATTTTTGGAATCGGGGAGACGTCTAGAGATCGATGACCGACGCCATTTGTAAAATACTGACGCCGACCCATCAATATGGATGATTTTGGAATCGGGGTGACGTCTATAGATCGAAAATCGATAGGGGACGCCATTTTAAAATCCAAGCTGGTTATAAAAAAGTGGGAAATACTAATACCAATAATATAGGTATTTTTTTAATAGGGATGAAGCAAGGGGGGGACGTGGCTGTCAAATACGAACAATCGTCGCCTACCTCGCATAACTGGTTCCAAACGTAAACAAGCCATAAGAAACCTACAGCGTTTGTTTACGTTTGGAACCAGTTTCATACAAGATGATCAGTAGGCTGATTTGACAGCACTTCCCCCCCCAGGGATGAAGTCAATATCCGACGCCATTTTGAAATCCAAGATCTTCCGATTTCAGAAAAGTGGGAAACCTGTCAATATATATGTGTATAGAGAATGAAAATCGACATCCGGCACCAATTTGATATCGAAGATGGTGGCTTCATGATTTCAGAAAAAGTGGGAAATACTGACGCCGATCCATCATTACACGCAGAAAAATGGATTTTTGTTTCAGGGCCTAATGTATTTTGTTATTGATTCAAACATATTGTATCACTATTTCAACGAAACATATTTTTGAATCAACAAAATGGTTTTTAGAAACAACAAACAGATTATTGACTCTACAACCGGTTTGTTGATTCAAAAATATTTTTCTTTGAACTAACCGAATAATATATTTGAATCAATACCAAAAATATATTAGGCCCTGAGCCAAAAATATATCCATTTGAATTTAAAAATCATTTCTCTGTGTGTATAGGTATTTTTGGAATAGGGGCAACGTCTAAAAATCGAAAATCGATATGCGACGCCATTTTGAAAACCAAGATGATGGCTTCCGGTTGAAGACAATGTGGGAAAAACTGACAAATACTCATCAATAAGGGGTGATGCACATATGATGTCACGACTTAGGATGTCATCTAGAGAATGGAAATCGATAGGGGACGCCATTTTGAAATCCAAGATGGCGGCTTCCGGTTTAATAAAAGAGATGAAATACTGTCAAATTACCCATAAATATGGATATTTTTGGAATCGAGATGACGTCTAGAGAATGAAAATCGATATTCAACGCCATTTTGAAATACAAGATGACGGATTTGGTTCAGAAAAAGTGTAAAATACTGTCAAATATCGATCAATGTGGGTTGTTTTGGAATCGGGGTGATCTCTAGAGACCGGAAATCGATGTTCGACGCCATCTTCACATTCAAGACAGTGGCTTCCGATTTCAGAAGAAGTAACAAATACCCTATAAATGGCGTCGAATATCGATTTTCAGCATTTACGTGTCGTTCTTGTTCCGAAAATACCCATATCTTAGGGTATGGCTGCGATCTTGGATTCCAAAAATGGCGTCGAATAACGATTTTCGGCATCTACGGTTCCCGTTCCGACTAACATTCCTTCCCCATCCCCACCAGTTGCAAGGACGTAGCCAGCAGCTTTCTACCTTTATGTAAGAGTGTGAATAATCCCAAATTACTATCTAACAGTACCGGATGGAGGTGGGCCTTCTTCTTAACAGTAGTTTGGAGCTCGTACCACCTACGAATTTGTGCAGCTTGTTCTATGCTATGCTATGTTTTGTGTAGGAATAGGAACTTGAGCGGGGTACTCTCTGTTTATACTCTTTATTATGACGCGTTTGAAATAGATGGCCTACAGCGACTCACGAAGAGCTACTGATTCCGATCAATAGCGGTGCGGCTTCTTCTTCATTCATGTGGGCTGCAGCTTGCTGTTTGCAGGCAGCCTTTCGTTGTGTACTGGAGAACACCATCACTCACCACGCTGTGATTGAATGAACACCTTTTGATGAGACCGGATGAAATTAAATTTTCAAATCTGTGTTAGGGAAATCGCTTTTCGAAGGCAATCCGTGGTAATCTTAATTATCATAGCACCAGTTGCACATTCGTGCAATTTTCAACAGTGACATGATAAAGTCTTAAATTAGAAATATTTCTGATCGATTGGTGATAAAATTATTGAAATTGGTCCAGGGGCAGCTGAGTTATTAACGTTCAAAATCTTTCATAATTTTGTTACATGTTCCATTTTCGGTTTTCACAAAGTGCACCCCCATATAGAAATCACAGACGTAGTCCTACGTCAAAAGGTTACCTTCCATTATTCCCTATTGTAGGATATTTTACACTTTTTGTGAAACCCGATGGCGGCCATCTTGAATTTCAAAATGGCGTCGGACATCGATTTTCGGCATCTACGCGTCGGTGCCGTTCCGAAAATACTCATGATATTTGTCACTTATTTTGAAACCCAATGGCCGCCATCTTGGGTTCCAAAATGGCATCGAATATCGATTTTCGGTACCTTTACGTCGTCCCTGTTCCAAAACATCCCTATTGTAGGGTATTTGAGACCTCGGCAACCGATATTGTGCAAATACTATCCGGATACTAATTTTTGAAAGTGGAAAAAAAACCGAAGGAAGCATTTTTCGAATCATTCATTGTGTCAATTGAAACTTGCTTCAAATGAAATGAACTGATGATCTTGACGAAAGAAACAAGCGATAGCCAAGTCATGTTGAACAGGAGGAATGTTCGTCGTGACTCGATATCAAGAAACACATTGGCTTACACGAAAACGATATTGCTCGAAATGAAGCGATTCTGCGGAGGGTTCATTTTCTTTTCTTTGTTTCGAAAATGCAGAACCCTGGTTGGAGCAGGTGTATTTAGCAACCAGAGATTCCAGAGTTATTTTGAAAAAATCTGGCAAAACCCGGAAAAAAGTCTGGCAAAAATCTGGCACAGCAAATTAACATAGAAAGCTGCCAGATTTCTCAAAAAATCTGTCTGGCAGAGCTTAAATTTCTCTGGCTGTGCCAGATAAATCTGGCAACCTGTCAACGCTGTTAGCAACAGCGTTCAGCAAGCAATAGGTCTTCCGTCACAGTGTAGTGTGTTTTCGACAATCAAGTCGGCCGTCATCGCAGCGAGAGCATCAAACGAACTGTCTGATTCGGCAAGCTGTCTTACGACCATAGACAGTGGAAGATCATAGCATCCATGGATCCAGGAAATCGAGCGTTTATTACGTGGACGGTCGATCCACCTTTGTTGGATCGCTGGTTACGCCGGAATCCGCGGTAACGAAGAAGCAGACCGACTGGCCAGTGAAGCACGAAACAGTTCACCAATCAACGTCACCGTACCAAGGAATGATGCCATCAAAAACATGAACCAAGCAACCCCCTGCAGTGAGATTCAGTTCTTGACGCTGCCGAAATCATCAGCAGCGCTGCTACTCCAAAACACATTTAAGCGCCTATCATGTAACTTTAAATGCGGCAAGGTGGCAACAAATGTAATGCCATCTAAACCATACTTAACTTCTCGCAATGGTCTGTTAAAAATTCATTTAGTTGCTTTCGAATTTACGAGCACAATTTGCGTGAATCATGCTTAACTATAACGTTATCTAGAAAACTCTCTATATTTTCCACAACGCGGTGCGACATGTACCAGTCTTTATCTTAGATGAGAAGTGGAGCTGTCAAATTATTACCAGAGAAATTTGGCTTCACTCGAGTCGTTCGAAGATCTGTAAAACCAAGTCTTTCGTCAGCAATGGGAAGCAAGTTGGGCACAATTGATAGATGTCAAGCTGAAGGAGGTCAAAAGGGAAAGGAAGAAATGGATCGATCAGAACAGTTCTGCCGATCAACGCGTTTGCACATCGGTCATACTTGGCTTACGCATGAGTTTCTGCTCAGGAAAACATCTCCGCTAACATGTGAATACTGTGGGACCGTTGTTGACATTCGTCAAATTATTCTGCACTGCACGCAATTTGAAGCGGCCAGGACGAAGTACGGAATCGATTCTACAAGCTTTTATACGGCGTTACGCAACGACGAGGATACTGAGAAGCGGTTGTTGAAGTTTCTGCATGAAACCAACGTTTATTGGAAACTCTGAAGGGAAAGGAAAGTGCAGGATGTAGGAAGAAAACGGAGCGGAGGAAGGCTGCTGAAATGATGGTTGAACACAATGAAGACACGGATTAAGAAAAAAACAAGGGATGCAGAGAAGAAACGTAGTCTGTAATGAATGGAAAACGATGCTGGGGAGGAAATCGAAGAAGATGCAGCGGAAGAAAGCTACCGATGAATTTTGGAAGCAAGCGAAGGAAACACGGATTCAGATAAGACGAAGAAAAGGGAGAAGCAAGAAAAACTACAAAGGAGGTGTCAAGATGAAAGAAGAAATTAGAGAAGTGCAAGCTAACGAAGAAAAATGTGAATGTGATGTGAGAGCAACCCAAGTAACCATAGGCACGTTATTTTGCCGTCTTGTAGATGGTCAACTTCGTGCGGTGGCTAATTGTATTCGACTAGATTCCCTGCCATAATGCTTCTATGAATGTCTCTGCTGGTATCATTTTCGGTGGTCACCAGTGCACCAAATACACGAACTCGTCGACCATCTCGATTTCGTCACCGTCAATCTAAACTCGGAGTGGAAGGCTAACATTGTCTTCCCTAGAACCTCTTCCTCTCATGTATTTCGTCTTCGATGCGTTGATGGCAAGCCAATCCGCCTAAGTTCTGCCTTCAGTCTGATGTTCGTTTCCGCCATCGTTTCAAAGTTCCATGCCATGATGTCGATGTCATCGGCGAAGCCAAGAAGTTGGATGGACATCCTGAAGATCGTGCCACTCGTGTCTATCCCAGCTCTTCTTATATGTGGTGTTTACATACACACTGGTACACTAGCACTGTACTAAAAAGTAGCCAGCATAATGTAAACAGGGCGTCAGCATCTACCAGCATGAGATTTCAGGAACAACTGGAATTCGTGCTAGTTGATTAACCTGGCTGAGCTAGTCAACTAGCATAAGTGTAACAGTCCATAAATATCAGACACGAAACCCGAGCAAAGCTGAAGATCAAATTGAAATCAAAATTTGCTGTTATGATCAAGGTATCAAAAATATCTCTAAATGACAAAATGACAAGCGATCAACGAACCGAATAATAACGCTGTGTCAGAAGTGGAAAGCAATAATGATATAACCTTCTTCGTTCTTTTTCATGACAAGCAGCCCGTGCGACACAGCTCACTCGGGGCGGTAGAAGGAAACGAGCAAATTGTTGGCAAGCTGCTTCACGAAGTGAAGCCGAAGATGATACACGTGTGGTAATGGGAATTTTTGTGTTATGTCTTTTCTCGATTCAGATCAAGCTATTTCCTCATCCGTGTATATTGCAACAAAGCAGGCAAGCAATATATCATTATCCTTCTACCACTCGGATCGAGCTATGTTACAGAGCGAGTTTGTCATGGTAGTCGTAGCAACCGTTTTGTCTGTATCGTTGGTTGCTTTATGTTTTTGGATTCGCTGGTTATGATGTAACTTATCAAGTATTCAATCCAGTTGATTTCAGTTTGGTTGACTTAACGGTTAACACAACAAAAATGAGAGCAAAATTTTACACTGTCGAAGCAAACGGAAAACTAATCCTGCTTTCGATGAAATCAATTTAATTACTTAGAGATGAACTAGCCTAAGGCTAAAAATCTCTTTAATAAAGAATTAAAAAAAAAAAAATTAATTACTGATTTTGCATTCATAATGTTTAACTGAATACGGGCCTGGAGTAAATGGTTACCATTAATGTTTCTCAATCTGAAATACTTGGGCTCCAATCTCACCCCGGGCAAGTCACGAATGACCTAAAATGTGTCAAACAAATCAAATAAACAATAATCATTAGTTCAACGACAGATGAATTTCAATTAAATTTTAAACCAGACGTAAACAGCAAAACTTCAAGTTAAGTTGCTTTCATTTCAAAAGTCTTGACTGCATAATGAAAGCATAATATGATATCAGACTTATGTCGCAACATTTGAAATCAAAATGAGTTTTCATTATGATAGGAACTTCACACTTTAATATCGATTTGCTTTCATTTTGTTAACCAACTTTGCTCGGGAAGCCCATCACCTTGCAGTAACCCCCTTCGAGGTTCAAAGGGACTCGAGAGTGTCCCCGATACTTGAACAACGCACATCACTCGATCGATCGTCACCTTGACCAATCGCTTCAGTTTATTCGGAAATCCGTACTCGTGCATAATCTGCCATAGCAGATCTCGATCGATTGTGTCGTATGTGTGGGCACAGTGACAGATGTTAGATCTTCGAGTCCGTGTAATGTCCGTGCTTGGGATGCAGCAGATAGTTGTTTTACAACCAAATGACAACATTTTCCAATTTATCTACCTATGTATCCACAAAACAATCTGGTAACGTTTCCAACAATCTTTACTTTTTCAGGTGGATTCCGCCAAATCGGTGAACGGGTCTAACCTGCAGAATGGAGTAAGCAACGGCCATTCCGAGGGTTCCGGTGGCGGTGGTGGTGCGACTGGTGGTACCAGTGACGATCGCCACAAGAGTCACAAAAGCTCCAACAAGGACAAACACCGGGACAAGGATCGGAGCCGCTCGGATGGCAACAAGGACAAGGAACGATCGAACGATAAAGATCGCGATCGGGACAAGCACAAGATCAGCTCGTCCTCGTCAAAGTACGTTTACCTTTTGTTTGTGGCTCGGTATGTTCATTGATGTAACATTATGTTCTTGCTCATTTTAGGGACAAGGATCGCGACAAGGACAAGTCCAGTAGCAGTAGCAGCAAGGACAAGGATCGCAACCGTCACAGCACTTCGCACAAGAGCTCAAAAATTGACAAGGATCGCGACAAGGACAGGGAGTGGGAGAAGGATAAGGACAAGGAGTGGTCAAGGAACAAGGACAGGGAGCGGGAGAAGGATAAGGATAAGGATCGCGATAAGCACAAGAGCAGCTCTTCGCCGTCCCGCGATAAGGACAGGGATCGCGAGAAAGATAAGCCAGCAGCAGTAGCAGCAAGGACAAAGACAAGGATCGGAAGGATCACGATCGCAGCGACAAACATTCTTCAGTAAAATCAGAGGGGCTCGTGCCAAGTCGTTTGCTTATTTGACAGAGAATTGCTCTTGTGAGGCGATGCATATATAGGGTTAACTACCCCATTTTCGGCCAATTAAGCACAACCCGCACTTAGTCTTTCTTAATCTAGCGCAGTTTAGCACCAAACGGAATGTTATTATTACTGATGGCTTCCAAATTTATTTACCTTCTGTACGTACCGTAAGATTTGATAAAGAGAAACTAATCGTTGAGATATTGGCAAAAGTCTAATACTGCTTCTTGACGCCAAACTCGGCCTACGGATTCTAAACTCAGCCTAACGCATTGAAACGCCATTGAAACGCAAATGAATTCACTTCGGCCTATCGGATGAAGATAAAAATTAATTCGGTCGGAGCGCTTCTTTTGTTTTTGTGAATTATGGGTGCAAACCTTCATATCACGCGTTCTCATTGACTTCGTTCGGTAGCTTATTAACCAAAGTATCGTACCAAACTCATAATTGACTTGTTAACTCAGAAATCATGGAATTATTTTGTATTTTCTGCACGATAGGCCCAAAATGGGCGATTAGGCTGAATTAGTTCTCTGCCCTACCTAGCGAAAAATAAAAACGCTATTTTAAGAAGATTTGGTGTAAAATCATTTTCTCAGTTTTGGTAATGAATGTGCAGAAAAAGAATTTATATTTTCGATTAAAATGTAGTGAAAATCGATCATTTCCTTAGGGAGCGCGTATTTCCCCCGTTCCCCTAGTGCATTTTGCAACCATTTCTTCACTGCCCCAACGAGGATTAGTGTTTTATTGAATATTGAATTGGTTGGGGCCTTCCTTAGCTCAGTCGGTAAAGGCGCACCTACAAAGCAAGCCTGTGCTGGAGGCGGCTGGGTTCGAATCCCGGTCCGGTCTAGGAATTTTTCGGGTTGGAAAATTTCTCGACGTCCCTGGACATAGAGTAGTATGATTGTACTTGCCACACAATTATACTACTGCAAAAATGGTACAGGCATCGGAAGCTCTCAATTAATAACTGTAGAAGTACATCTAGAACGCTTAGTTGAGAGCATGCAATAAGCTTGAAATACGAAGAACAAATTTGGTTTCCGCAAAACCGTTTTCCGGGAATTGATTTGAAGCAGGAGGTAAAATGAGCGAATGGATCTGCTGAATTGGTTAGAATTGATGTTTCCTTATACGACACAATCAACAAATTCCTGCCGCTTAATTTAGCTAAAGAATTATTTCTTTTTCGAAAATCGGCCGTATTATGAAGAAAATTTTCCAAACATCATCATTTTCAATGTTCTCACTTCGAAATGTAGGCGACGAGCGATCGCAACAAAGTTGCTGTATTTCATCAATCGTCAACCAAGTAGGGTAAATGCACCTACAGTTGCGGTACGCTAGAAGTGTTACGTTCCTGTATTTGTGTATGGAGGCTCGATACACAACTATAGGAAACTAACGCTTCTAACGTACCGCAAATATAGGTGCGTTTACCCTAGTTCAGCTTTTCGATTTATATCGCTTGTTGACACAAAGTCAACAAATTGGTAGCTCGCCCTAAACTCAAGTTCCGCGCCGAGAGTTTCAGTGCACCAAAGTTGATGAAATTTTGGGTTTTCCATCAGCAACAAACAACTGTTATAAACAACACCATTCATACAACTTACCTTTCCCACTGCGTAGCATACGCGCCCTACGCATCACGATCTTGAAATGAGACATAATAGCTTCCTCGATTTGAGTTTGTTTTCTAATGTCTCTGGTCACTTGTTTCATCTGTTGCTTTTCTTGTTTAGTAGCACATTTAGTTCCCCGCTTTTTACAAATCGACCTGCACTCATTATTGAAAAAACCCTTCTTTATCTGGTTGATCGTCATAACCCGGTTGAACTTTGCTAGAAATTAGAAAATATTTCGTTGCATTAGCGGTAGCGCTAAACGGGCATGTTGCAATCAATGGAAATAGATTTCTGCGGATGGGTTTACTTAAGTATCAATCTCGGTTAATTTATTTAGAAATGTCGGGGAAATTCATCTGCCCGGTCTACAGTCAGACTTAGGCCTATGTGTCCTTTGCTCTTCGTCTCGTTCCAGTCGAGAAACATTTTCACCGGGCTGCAGTTGGACATTCTTACGCCGTGGGTGGTTCTCCCAGCAGCTGGTGCAATTCGCGGTTCATTCGCCTACTCCACGTTCCGGCTTCCATCTGCACTCCACCGTAGATGGTACACGTTGGTGTCATTATCTGCTCTTGTACTTTCAACGAACTTCTGCAGGCCCTACGTTTTGAATAGCTTAAAAAGCTCATCCGAGTCACTGAATTTGTTCATCAGCCAGGCAAATTGGGACAACCAATTATTCCAGTTCGTTTCCCGCCTGTCTTATCCATTTGTGACTGGCTCTTCCAGTTGGACAGTGTTAGAGCAAACTTCCTTTATCGAATGACATTGTTAGTTTGCTTTGGTGTATTATGATTCTCGAGCAATTTGCGTTTAAAGCCATTGTTTACGTTTGGTTGTTCCGCCTATTTCAATTGTTGGTCTAGAAATAAATCGCTTGTTTTTGATTGGATTCCTCTCGGCGCATGATCTGGCATCTGCAACAACTTAAAGTTGATTCAGGCGAAGAGCTCAATAAACAATTCATCTGAAGAATGTTATTTGCTCACGATATAGGTAGTTAACCCCGACCAACTATTCGAGAAACTTCTTTAAAGTGATTTTTTTATTTGGTCGAACCTCTCAACGGAATCCCTTTATGAAGAGCTTTTGAAGGTGTTGATATATTTCCTTTTAATTCGGTTATAATTGAGTATTTTTTGTCAGATACGTGTATTTCGTCTGCCACTTGCAGACCTCATCAGTGCCAACACACTCAAATAGCTCGATAGGGGAAATGTATGTAATGTCGGCCTAAGTTTCCCTAATTTGAACCCATACATAAATTTAGCAATCGACTAAATTTTCAATAGCAAACAAAAATTCATTTGCATGCCTGAAAATCCAAAATTGCTCAACATTTACCAAATCTCGAAAATAGATTGGAAATATTATGAGGAACATTTTTTTTTCGAAGACTGCAAATCGATTAGACTTCTGAGAAAAAAAAAAGTTGTGATTATATTAATTTAGACCTATTGCTCCGCGCATACGGAATTCGTATTCTCCTTGATATGTCCTCAGAATTCTCAAATCAAAAATCCATCTCTTGATACTCTTCTTAGAATTTCTTTGAGCTTGTACTCGCAAAATATGGTTCCACAGGTAAAAAGTGAGGTTACGCGACGCCACCGACGTAAGCCTTGAGCCAGTTTTAACTATATGGGTAAACCTGGTTTAAGATTTAAGCGGAGGTGAAGACATCGATCCTCAGAGCACCTAAATTTACACAAGACTTTCGTAGTGTCTGCTTCGATATTTTTCTCTGAAATAGCTTGGTGTCATCACTAGAATTCTTTTAAAATTCTCTTCGAATTTCCTTTCGAATGTTCATTAAAATCTCTTGATAATTCTTTGAAGACTTCTGAAAATCTAGCTTAGACCAATATTTTTGACAAGTTTCCAAGGTTCAGAGTTTATTTACGGGAAAAGGAGGTATGTTTTCTCCGATTTGTCATCGAAGTTCTACACTGAAAAAAGTTTTCATATAGTTTCCATTGGGAACGCAGATGATATTTTTCCAATATCAAAATTAATGATTTTTACATCACATGCACTTCATTGGACACATAAGGTTCATGTGATTTCGTGGTGCGATTCCCAATTATGAGATCACATGAAAGTTATGTGAAATTCTAATGGATATTTTCCATCGGAAATTTGATTTATTTTTTGAGTGTAGGCTTTTGCCAGTTTTTACGGATTGTGCGGATTCGTTCTTAAAATACGATCGATCCGGCATTAACGAATACACCTACCATAAGGGGTTTTAAGTTAATTGGGACCAAACACTGATTGTACGGCAATTTGAAGAGATTACATCCTGATATCTTTGAAGAAGTTGTTAAGCAGATAGTTGGCCACCTTTTGGGAAGAGTCAATTTCCGGAAGCCTGATCCTGTGGAAGATCCGGAACATCCCTAAAACTGGTCAATTCATGAAACTGATCCTAGAGTTCCGCGGTTTTTTAAAAACCACTTATAGACATTTTATCAGAATGATTATATTAAGAGATTGTTTTAAAAATCTTGAACTTGATACGGCGCAAGAATTTGTATAAATGTATGGTGATCTGTGCTAATATAAATCTTATAAACAAATTAAATCTTAAAAACAATTTAAATTTCTATGATTCTGAAGCTTTGACATGTGTTTAGAGTTTTAGAATATACAATTTTTCAGAGAAGGACTTATAAAAATCTATATAAGAATAGATTTTTTTCCCAACAATATGAAACTAAGAAAAATTATCAAAATGTTGGATTTTTTAAACTTTTCTAGATCCCTGATTTAGAAAATATTTCAAGATTCCAGATTTAGAAATAAACAGGCGCTTGAAAATTGTGTGGTCTTGGAAAAATGTTCAGGGTTCTAATCAGAAGATTTTTTTTTATAGAATTTTGAAAAATCAAAATTCTGAGAAGAACTCGAAGAAAAATTCAACGGAGCTCAGACAAGAACCCTAAAATAATTCTAGACTTAAGTCCTGGCGACCTCTTAGAAGAATTACAAGGGAGTTGTGGGGGAGAACTTCAAGAAGAATTCCCATGTGATTCTGAAGAGAATTGTATGTGGGGAGAATAGCAGGTGAATTTTAAGGAGAATTTAAAAAGAAATATAAACAGAATTTCAAGGGTTTTCTGATAATAATTTCAAAGGAATACTGAGGAAGATTCACAAGACAACTTTAAGCAAGATTCGAGAAAAATGCCGAAAGCATCATGTTCTGATGTAAATAAAGAAAAATGCTGAAAAATTGAAATTGAATTATAAGAAAGTTTCACGAAAAGTCCAAAGTTCCAAGGTATTCTGAGGAGAATTCCAAAGAATTTCTGAGGAGAGTTTTCCGAAAGGTCACATAATTTCAATGGTTTAAGATGATTAATAGCTGCATAAACAATTTTTGAGCTGAAGAAACATATGTTTGCTTGATTAAGCTCAAGCTGTTATTCAACTTTAAATTTTTGTTGGAATAGGTATGTTACGGTTTATTGATTTTTCCCGGTTCTGCCATCAAATTCCCGGTTATATCCCGGTTCGCTGTCCACCCTGTATATTAGCTTTTTGCATGCTCTCAACTTAGTGTTCTTTGAAGCACTTCTACATTTTAATTGAGAGCTTTCTATGCCTGTACGCCCAAGGAAGTCGAAAACATTTCCAACCCGAAAAATGAATAGACCGGACGGAAATCGAACCCAGCCTTCACCAACTGAGCGCTAGAGGAGTATCGTTTGTAGTTTATAAAAATAAATAAAACAATGTTCATTTTCAGTTATTTATGTTCTTAGTAGTATAAATCCTAAGTATTTAGTGAACATAAAAAAACACCTTTACATTATGAGATTCAATTGAATCAAAACGGCGTATGGATAACGCAGTAATGTATGCAACCTACATAATATCTAGCAAAAAGGATAACACTTACCGTCAGCGAAACATAAATTCGCTATTTTGAAAAGTTTTTTTTTGGTAATCATTTCCTCTGTGATAAATGCATATGACTGTGGAAATGATGCATTGAAAAGTGATCCTTAGGATGCGCGTATTACCCAAGGGGTAGATCACTCCACACACCAATATTGGGTCAACATTTTCTCAGTGTGCCGCTGGGTGTGCCGATTGTGCCGGTCATAGAGCAAGCTGCGATTTTTTTTTTGTAAAATACGAATATAATGGTATATTTGGCAACCCAGTATTTCTGACAGCTTGAATGTTTTGGTTTGCAATCACAAGGTTGACAATGTCCCCGCATCGAAAACCGTTGGATGCGATAATTGAACGTCCCCGAAAATGTCGAATATCGTGCTCGATAAAAATTCCTTCTACCGACGAATAAAACACCTTTACGACAACTGGAAGAAACCAGAGTTTTCCCATCATGATTCGCTGCAGAAGGTGGATTGCATTCTGACGGCGGTCGGCGAAGTCCATCTTTTTCCTGACCAGCAAGAAGAAGATCGACTTCTTGAGCAGATCGAGAAGAACGGTGAGGGCACTCCGTCGGTGAAGCTGTTGGTTCGGGATAAGAACGAAAAAGACAAGGTCAATTTTCAAAAGCTGCTGGAGGCGATCAAGGGATCCAACCGTTGAGCGTCTTCTCCAAGGACCACTTCCCGGGTGCATTCTGTGAATCGTGGCGAGCCTTCGTCAAGAACAAAAGCTGGATGGTGGATATCAGCGTCCCAATCGTGTACATCATGTGCTCCAAGAAGGAGGATTCCGGGGTTATCACCATCAAGAAGGCCTGCCTGGTAGACGTATTCAACGAGTACCTCAAGGATCACATCATTTGAAAATATGCATTCATCACTGAGAAAATGATTTTACAAAAAACTTTTTAAAATAGTGATGTTATATTGAGTTCAGAAAAGGTGATAAATACCCTACAGTACGGCAGTGTGATAATTGTATCTAGAAAGCAAGCGAAGGACAATGTTGAGGAAGGTACTAATCGGATCGAGCATTCCACCATATTCATCCGTTTGCGAGGGGCGGTGAGGGATATTTCCCCTGGTCACCACTGGCAAAAGGAATAATTGCCGATTCGCTCATGCACACACTCAAGCCGCCATCTGACGTAAGCATCTAGTCAATGGTTTTGACAGCTACTGATTCCTCTACCACTGTCTGTGCTTTCGTCATTGTCAACTTCTGTTTCGCACATAGGAGGAACATGAGCGTAGCGGCGATCATTCCTTTTGCCAGTGATCGGCGTGGGGAAATTTTCCTCACCAACGGTTGAATTTGTTGAAAGGAATGCTCGATACGATTAGTACCTTCCTCAACATTACTTACTATACTTCAGCTCCTCATCGATCGTATAAAATGTTCACTTGAAGTCTGATATTGATGTTAAGCATCTCCAAACTTTTACAAGGTTCCCACTAACTCTTTTTTTTTTCCTTTGGTTTGTTTTCCGTCGATCTTGTTTTCCGTGCTGAGCACCAATGCTACCGACGCCAGGAAGGCAGCTGCCACACCTGGACCCTACCTATCGACCCATCAACTCATGAACCGGGAACCAACGGCTTTACTTCCCTTCCGAAGGAAGGCGTGATCAGAGATGTTATGCCTCAGAACATCCCGGCGGCGCCGACTGGGATTGAACCCAGGCCTGCTGGGGTGAGAGGTAATCACGCTTACCACTACACCACCGGCACCGCCTTACTCTTGTTTTACGTAACTCATAACAGCAATTTAAACGTCAACGGTTGTTTAGGAAATATCAAAACACACTTTCACCTACACGGTAACCGCAAAATACCCAATAATGACTACAAAGTAAGCATTTTCGAGGGAAACTGGGACTACCCATAAAATGAGTAAAATTTTACCCATTTATGAATTACAACTACAACTACAAAAATAAGTAGTTAGTATTCGTTTTTGAGTAACAAATACTCATAAATGGGTAATATTTTTACTCATATAATGGGTAGTCCCAGTCTCCCTCGAAAATGCTTACTTTGTAGTCATTATTGGGTATTTTGCGGTTACCGTGTATTGCCCCACCCTCAACTCAGAACTTTCAACATTAAAAACGCAAATTTCAAGCTGAACAATGCATTAGGTCCTAAGTAACATTGACAGATTCTCTTAGTCGACTTTCTGTTTGCATCTTACCGGGCATGTTAAGGCATTCCCAGCTATTTTTAGCAGCCAGATCGATGAAAGAAGCTATTATCTAGCTTCTAATACGACAAACACGACAAGAAACGGTTCTTTACCCAAGTTAGAGGTGATGCACATGTTATGTCACGCTCTAAGTTGGAAGGGGGGGGGGGGCAGGGGGATGGATCGCCCCTTATTAACGAAAAAGATAGTCGATGAAGAGAATCGACCAATGTTACTTAGGACTTAATGCATTGTTCAGCTTGATTTGTGATCGAAAAACATTCACACTAAAGAGCCTAAATTTATAAAGAGGCGACATGTCAAAATTGGAACAATCGATTGTCTGTCAAAGTCATAGGAAAAGTCATTCCAATCGAGCAGAAGACCTGTCAAATGGATAAGATGTCATCTCTTTATAAATTCAGGCTCTTTAATTCACGCGTGATTCATATTGGGTAAGTGAGACAGTTCTTAACCCATCTTTATTTCCATTACCCCGCCGGTGAGACCATTTTCCCATGCACCTCATACGGTAGCGTCTGGAAAAGGTGCACGCTTTTCTCGATGATACAGTATCCCCCCGCTAATCTGGCTCTCGTTAATCTGACGATTCGATAATCCGACATTACGGTGGAGCTTTGTTTACATTGCTAGCATAGAGGTAACTCTAAGACCAGAAGGTCCCGAAATAACGTGGTCAACTTTTTGGCTCAGCTCTGGTACTCTCTTCGGTCCCAAGCTAATCGATTCACCCCTCGAAACATAGGAAAAACCAATAACCCCTCATTTTATCTGTCAAACTTTCATAGCAAATCAAAACAAACATTGCGTAGTACTAGAATTTCGACTAGAATGGGATACGTTAATCGTTTGCTTGGGACCAATAGGCTAGTCAAGTAGTGAGCCAATTTAACATCGTTAGTTTCGTATTGATTGTTGTTGCTAGGTTGGTAACATTGATTTGTATGGACTCCGCTAATCCGGCCACAAATTTGTCGGATTGGCGGGGGGATACTGTATCATATTCGTTGACATTGTCAAAATCTTCTGGGGTAATTTGCTTCAACCGGCGGATGGTTCTCGACTTAAGTGCTCTTGCTTGCCTGAAGCGTTCTCTATTCTCCGGCATGTCTGCCCATTTCATAAGTGGACCTCCAACACGATTGCTTCTATTGACAATAATCGTATTGTCAATACATCGGTATTCACACCATCAATATTATTATCAATAATAGGGTTTTTGATCTCATTTCCGTCCTACTAAGCACAACCCGCGCTTTACGTCTCTTTTTTGAACGGGTTTGAACAAAAAATGGAATATTTCTGTCAAAGATAACTTCTAAATTTATTCACTTTTCCATACGGTACCGTTGGATTTGATAAAGAGCCACAAATTTATAAGATATTGTTTAAAACCTAATACTGCTTCTTGATTCTAAATTCGTTCTACGAGTTTCACTTCCGTCCAAACGCATTGAAACGCCATTAGATTTTTTCCGTCCTACGGATAAACGTAGAAAAAGGGGATTCGCTGCTTTTATTTTGAGAACAATGATCGAAAATATTCATAAAATGCGCTCTAATAGGATTTATGTTGTAGCTATGGAAACTAACGCATCGGAACAAACCTATTATTGATTTGTGCACGGTGATATTATTGATCTTTTCTGATCGATAGAACGGAAATGGGCGATTACGACGAAGTAGCGCTCTACCCTATCCCTTCGCGTCAATATATTGATTCGAGTGGGGTTTGCTATACGGTGTCTGGCACAAACTACCGCTTCAATCAACTCGTTGCACTCCTCAATAAAACAGGTATTATATTTTTGGGTGCTCTAATCCTCTCTTTACTGAAAGTGCTCTAATATGCGGAACAGATTGCGTTGCTCTGGGTGGCGATAGTGTGAATTTGCAACCGATGGAAATAGATTGCTGAACATATTTAAGCACGTTTTGAAATTCATCAACAGTTTTCAACGAATTTCAAAAGCCTATTTTTAAAATAGCTAAATAGCTTATTCGAGTCAATGATTTATCGAACGTGCGTTGAGCTAGAACATGTTAGCCAACAGTTATAGTTCCTAACTCGCCCGTATTATCTGTTTGTGACCTGACTTTTCTGTTTTTTTTTCTCCGTCGAATCTTGCACTCCATGATCATGTATCCGTTTCAAATTAAAAGTCTATACACTGTAGACATTCTCCAATCCCAAAACTTACCTTTCTCGGTGGACTTATCACGCGCCTCATCCAGTGCTTGCTGGAGAAGGAAAACGTGTTCTTCGATGCCACCATATTTGTTGTAATTATCAGCATCTTTTTTGGAATTTCGCTTCAACCGACGCACAACTCTCGTCTTGGCCGCCATTGCTTGCTTGTAGCGTTCTCTATTCTCCGGCGTGTTCACCATTTCCAGAAGGCGTCTGGCTTGGTTCGCCTCCTTACTCAACCGGTTGCACTCTTCATTGAACCAGGATTTACCTTGTTTACCGTCCACCCCCTGGTAGTCTAAGAAGTCCTCTAAAATGTGCAAAAGATTTCGTTGCTCTGGATAGCAGTACGTCGGCATGCTGGCGGGTTTGCAACGGATGGAAACAGATTTCTTCTTTTACCTCCTGCCTTCGACGCTCTGACTCGAGTCTAGTGTTTTAAGAAGCACTTCCATAGCTAGTCCATAGGGAAGTCCCGAAAATTTCCCATCAGAAGAACGACTTTTAAAACCGGGTCGGGAATGGAACCCACCACCGAGCAGCCATAACTGACTACAAACTGCTAATTTCTCAATTCAATTTGTCTCTTTCGACCATACAAAAGCATCATAGGGCAATCATTAATTTGCAGTTGAAAACTGAGAGTTTTCAAAGTTGAGACTTGAACGACATGTGCGGAATTTATAGCGAATTCGTTTATTATTCAGTTCCAACCTGGATCGGGTATCAAGATTGGGTCTGCTTGTTTTCTGACAAACGTCAGTTTGCTCGTTTGTTTTTAAAACCTAGCTCAGGTTGAGGTTCACACTGACAAAAAGTTCGGTTTCGCACTGGGTTGGAACTGGTGTTAACCCCGATAATAAACGAATTCGCTATTAGAGAGACGAAGTGTATCTGGGAAACGAAATCAACGGAGTGCACAGCAACGATGGAACTAGGGTAGATTAACAAATCGGTTTAAAAGAAAGCCAAGGACTACTGGATAAAGTTAAGTCACAGAGTTAAGTGTTGACGCCGACGAAACAAACACTCAGTTGGCGAATGGACGGTGAGAGATACTAATGAGTCAAATCAACGCAAAGTGGGGCCACTTCATACAAAACCCGGAGAAAAAAGGCCACCAAAGGTTTTGTGGTGTGCACTGCCAACACTGGACAACAGCGCGCACCTGGATACACCCCCTGCATCAAAAGCGACCATGTTGATTTTAGTTAGTAAGTTTGGGACAAGGGAGAAATAAACACGTTGTGAAGTCACACCCGTTTTCGATTTATTCTATCGCGGAATTCTCCTTCCCACATTGGTGACCCCGCCGTGATATCACGACGCGGAAAACAACGAAAACCGATCGCTATCGTCGCAGATTCGAAAATGACGAAGGTAAACGCTGCTGTTACCGCTGGAGTTGCAGTCAAACTTCCAGATTTCTGGAAGAATGATCCCGTGATGTGGTTCGCGCAGGCCGAAGCACAGTATGCTCTGGCTAATGTGGTACGGGATCACACCAAGTTCTATCATATCGTCGCAAAAATTGACCAGTCTGTCATATGCCATGTAGCGGACTTGGTCACGACCCCGCCGGAGGAAAACAAATACAAAACCATCAAGCAGCGTTTGATTTCCCGATTCCAAGTGTCAGCGAAAGGAAAATTGGAGCGACTTTTGGACTTGCAGGAACTTGCTGCGGGCCTGAATGTTACGGATGATTTGCTGAAAATGCTGTTCCGCACTTTTGCATTACCCTGATTCCTCGAAACCGTTGAGTTTACTTATCGATGCATCAAATACTGTAGCAAGCGCTGTGCTACAGCAGTTCAACGGCAGCAACTGAGAGTTCCACTGGGTTTCTATTCGGAAAAGTTCTCGCCGGCTCAGGTGAAATATTCAACGTTTGGCCGAGAGCTGACGGCGATGAAGATGTCGGTGCAATACTTTCGTCATATGCTGGAAGGAAGGAGATTCGTTATTTATACCGATCACATGCCGTTAACACACGCTTTGGCTTCAAGTCCACGCAGTCGTCTTTCACACGAGGAGCGGTACTTGCGGTTCATCTCGGAATTTTCGAACGATATTCGTCATATCAGCGGACAGTTCAACGTGGTAGCAGACGATTTCTCTTCCCACACCGATTGACTACGACAAAATTGCTGCTGATCAAGTCGCTGACAATGAGTTGCAAGGCCTGCTGGATTCGTCTTCTGCATTGAAACTGGAATTGCGTCAGACAGCTTTAGCATCAAGACCCCTGTATTGTGATGTGTCACACAACAAAGTAAGACCATATGTTCCACCTCAGCATTGTGCCGCGGTTCTTCAACATGTCCATGGTCTGGCTCATCCAGGAGTGCGTTCTACTCGACGACTTGTAGCGGATCGGTTCGTATGGAAGAACATCGCCACACAGTAGCTCCTCTTCAGAGTATTCCTCTGCCAAACAGCCGTTTTCGACATGTTAATGTGGATATTGTGGGACCGTTGCCACCATCCAATGGCAACCGCTATCTGCTAACAATCATTGACCTTTTTCTCGATGGCCTGAAGCCGTACTACTTCAAGACATGACTGCTGAGACTGTCGCTCGGGCTATGTGCGTTATTTGGTTTTCTCGTTTCGGCGTACCAGAAACAGTCACCACGGATCAAGGAAGGCAATTCGAATCTGAGCTGTTTCGTGAATTGGCTAAAGCGATGGGTTCCAAACACATCCGAACAACGGCATACCGAACCCACAATCAAATGGTTTGGTGGAGCGATTTCATCGAACCTTGAAAGCTGCAATAATGGCTGTTGATTCGAAGCACTGGTGTGATAAATTACCGATGATAATGCTGGGATTGCGTACGTCTTTCCGATCGGATTTTGATTGTTCAGTTGCGGAGTTGGTGTATGGTCAAACGTTGCAGATTTCCGGGGAGTTTCTAGAACGTTCAAGTCAGGATATCGATAGAACGGATTGCGCCAAGCAATTGCGAGACACGTTTAGCAAGCTGAAACCAGTTGATCCTGCTCACCATGCAAAACCAGCCGTGTTCGTAAACCCCGAGCTTAACAAGTGCAGCCACGTCTTTGTCAGGATCGACGCAGTCAAGAGGCCTCTGGTGAAACCGTATGAAGGACCATTTGCAGTAGTGAAGCGATATGAGAAGTACATGGACGTGAAAATCAATAGGAAGGTACAGAGGATTTCAATAGATCGCTTGAAACCAGCATTGGGAAGTGCGGTTTTAGAGCAAATCAAGCATAACTATTCAAATCGACGTATCTGAGTTTGTTAACAATCACTTCATTCGACAATTTGTGGCAACAGCAAGCTCACTCACAGAAACTAACAACACCAGCTAGTAGGGGAAAGATTCCACTACCTGATGGTGGAGTTTGTTTGCGTGGGTGAGTTAGCAGTTAAGACAAATCGTCGATTGAAGTAATTGTTTACTAAAGTCGATGCGTCGATTTGAATAGTTACGCTTGAAATTGTAAACAAACTCATGAAATTGACACATTATAACACCTATGTGTAGTCATCTTGGTCTGTACCTTGGCATATTTTGATGTGTTAGACATGTTTATATCGCGTGATCGCAATCAATAGGATGTTGCTTTCTTCTGCCAAAGATATTCAGGAATACAAGCTCTTCAAAACTATGGATAGTGTATGACAGAATACGCGATACACAAATTACGTAACGCAAAAAATCCGGATGTTGGACCCCCTCCCCTCCTCTGTCACAATAAGTAACGCTTGACAAGACTCCCCCCCCCCCAATTACTTAACGCTCAACACCCCCGTTTTTATTTGTTTTTCCATGGCTTATTCTGTTACGAAACATTTATCATTAACTGCCCTTCCCCCTATGTAACAATAAGTAAGGCAAGTAACTTCCCCGTCCCACTCGCTCCATGCGTTACGTAATTTGTGCACGAAACCTTACTAGATGGCGCTTAAACGAAAATGACCATGTTGCGCTATCTTAAATACACATTATATAATGCTGTCTATAAATCCTGCTCATATGGATTGTTCCCGTCTTCAGCAAAGTTGTTCAGATGGACAAGACTTATCCTAAGGTAAGAGTTTAGTTCAGAATTCACTCAAAAGGCAGCGCTAGTGTGACATTAATTTTGAACTGTTTGCCCCCTCACTTAGCAAATGGACTAGATAGAAGGTTTCCATCTTCGGTAAAATTGTTCAGAGAGACAAGACCTACCATAAGATAAATATTCTAGTTCAGAACTCACTTATCAGGCGGCGCTAGTGTGACATTAATTTTCTACTGTTTGCCCTAACTTAACATATGGACTAGATAGAAGGTTTCCGTCTTCGGTCAAGTTGTTCAGATAGACAAGACCTATCCTAAGGTAAAGAGTTTGGTTCATAATTTGCTCACCAGGCAGCGCTTGTGTTGCATTGATTTTGAATTGTTTGCTATAACTTAACTTCTTGACTAGATAGAAGGATCCCGTCTTCGGCAAAGTTGTTCAGATGGACATGACCTATATTATGGTAAAGATTTCGCTCACCAGGCGGCTCTATTGGGATATTCATATTTTATTGTTTACTCTAACGTAACATATGGACTAGATAGAAAGTTTTCGTCTTCGGTCAAGTTGCTCAGAGGGACAAGACCTATCCCAAAGTAGAAAAATAAAATAAAATAGTACAAAATTCACTCGCCAGGCGGCGCTAGTGTGATGTTAAGTTAGGGCAAACCATGCAAAATTAATATCACACTAGCGCCATCTGGTGAGTGAATTATGAGCTGAACTCTTTACCATTAAATAGATCTTGTTCACCGAAGACGGGAACCTTCCATCTAGTCAAGAAGATAAATTAGGGCAATCAATTCATAATGAATGTCACATTACCACCACCTGGTGAATGAATTTTGAACTAAAATCTATTCCTCAAGATAGGTCTTGTCCTTCTGAATAACTTTGCTGAAGACGGGAACCATCTATATGAGCAGGATCTGTAAATAGCGTTATATTTGTGATTGTGTGTATTGTGTATTTTGTGATTTTTGAAATGCTGATAAAATTTCCCTTTAGACATTACTAAATTGGTAGAGACAAAATGGATGTTTTGTGTGTGGAGCTAACGAACCCGTGCTAGCCTTAAGATGTTGTTTTAGAATGTATTTTTACAATCCTGACCATCTGTCATTGTGTATTAGAATAGCTTTAGCTTAATGTGTGTCAAATTTAGCAGATTTTGGCGAACTCTCAGTTTAGCGCCCCTCCCTCTGACTCTTTCACTTTTAAGATGCCCTCATCACATTTCATAAGGGTAGCGTAAAAGTGAAAAAGATTC